CAGGGTGCGGGGGTGTGTGGTCCTTACCATTCTGAGAAAAGTGGGGAGAAGGGAGTGGCCAGTACCATTTTTAAGGGGGGGGGAGAGTTCCAGCTGCAGGAGAAGCAGGGTGGAGTGGGGGTGGGGGAGAAAGCTGTGGGGCAGGGATGACAGCACCCTAGCTGCAGAGTGGGGAGCCATCAGCTCTCTGAACTGTCCCCCCACCCTCCGGGGACACTTTACCCACCTCCAGGCCATCCGGCTCCACTGGGTCCCCACAGAACCAAGCCACTCACTGCATGAGGGATGGGGGGGGATGAGACAACGGGCAGCAAACAAAGGGATGTGCGGAGACAAAGCACAAATCTGTGAATTTTAAGAGCCAATCTCAGGATTCTTTGAGCAAATCTCACAATTTTTAGCCAATCTCAGGATTTTTAGTGAATTTTGGGGAGTGGGGGTGTCATGATATTCACATGATATTTTTTGTGAGTCCTAGAATCACAGACCCACAGGGTGAGAAGGGACCGCAGGGGTCACCTAGTCCAACCCCTGCCAAGATGCAGGATTTGTTGGGTCTAACCCATGCCAGACAGATGCTGTCCAGCCTCCTCTTGAAACCCTCCAGTGAAGGAGCTTCCACCACCTCCCTGGGTGTCTGGTCCATTGTCCGACTGCTCTCACAGCTGGGGAGTTATCCTTGAGATACATTGGTGACCAAAACTGGACACCATCCTACAGCTGAGTAGAGTGGTACTGTCACCTCCTGTGACTTGCCTGTTCTGCCTCTGGTAAAATTGCATTATTATTTTTCTTGCAACAGCATCGCATTGCTGACTCATGTCAAGGTTGTGATCCATCCCAAATCCCACCTCCTTCTCAGCAGTGCTGCTGCCAAGCCAGTTCTTCCCCACCCTGTATTTGTGCATTTGGTTTTTCTTCTCTAAGGGGAGCACCTTCCATTTGTCCTTCATGAATTTCATTGTGTTGTCTACAGCCCAGTCCTCCAATTCATCGAGGTCCCTCTGAATTTTAGTGCCATCTTCCAAAGTGTTGGGAACTCCCCTCAGCATTGTGTCATCTGCAGATTTGATCAGTCTGCTCCCTAGTCCTACATCCAGGTCATTGATAAAGATGTTAAACAACATGGGACCCAGAACAAATCCCTGTGGAACCCCACTTAGGACCTCCCTCCAATCCAACATTGTTTCATTAACAATTACTCATTGTTTGTGGTTGTTTAACCAGTTATGTATCCACTTAATGGTAGTTCCAATGAGCCCACATTTCTCCATAAGAACGACCATACTGTCTTAGACCAAAGGTCCATCTAGCTCAGTAGCTTGTCTTCAGAAAGTGGTCAATGCCAGGTGCCACAGAGAAAATGAACAGAACAGGATATCATCAAGTGATCCATCCCAGCTTCTGGCAGACAGAGGCTAGGGACACCATCCCTGCCCATCCTGGCTAATAACTGTAGATAGACCTATCCTCCAGGAACTTATCTAGTTCTTTTTTGAACCCCATTGTAGTCTTGGCCTTCACAACCTCCTCAGGCAAGGAGTTCCAGAGGTTGATTGTGCGCTGTGTGAAGAAATACTTCTCTTTGTTTGCTTGAAACCTGCTGCCTATTCATTTCATCCGGTAACACCTAGTTCTTGTGTTATGGGAAGGAGTAAATAACACTTCCTTATTTACTATCTCAACACCAATCAGGATTTATTAGCCCTCTATCATATCCCCCCTTAGCCATCTCTTTCCAGGCTTAACTTTCCCAGTCTTATTAATCTTACCTCATATGGAAGTTGTTCCATACCCCTAATCATTTCTGTTTGCCCTTTCTGAACCGTTTCCAATTCCAATTTGAGATAGGGCCACCAGGACTGCATGCAGTATTCAAGATGTGGGTGTACCATGGATTTATATATAGGCAATATGCTATTTTCTGTCTCATTATCTATCCTTTTCTTAATGATTCCCAACATTCTGTTCACTGTTTTGACGGCCGCTGACAATGAGTGGATGTTTTCAGAGAACTATCCACAGTGACTCCCAGATCTCTTCCTTGAGTGGTAACAGCTAATTTAGACCCACCCCCCACCTCTCTACCCCCCATTTTGTATGTATAGTTGGGATTATGTTTCCCAAGGTGCATAACTTTGCATTTATTAACATTGAATTTCATCTGCCATTTTGTTATACAGTCACCCAGTTTTGTGAGATCCCTTTGTAACTCATCACAATCAGTTTTGAATTTAACTATCTTGAATGGTTTTGTATCATCTTCAAATTTTTCCACCTCACTGTTTATCCTTTTTCCAGATCATTTACCAATATGTTGATAACACTGGTCCCAATACAGACCCCTGTGGGACACCACTCTCCCCTGTGAAAATTGACCATTTATTCCTTTGTTTTCTATTTTTTAACCAATTACTGGTCCAGGAGAGGACCTTGCCATTTCTCCCATGACAGCTTACTTTGCTTACAAGCCTTTGGTGAGGGACCTTGTCAAAGGCTTTCTGAAAATCTAAGTACACTACATCGACTGGGTCATCCTTGTCCACATGCTTGTTGACTCCCTCAAAAAATTCTAGTAGATTGGTGAGGCATGATTTCCCTTTACAAAAACTATATTGACTCTTCTGCAACAGATCATGTTCATCTATGCATCTGATATTTTTCTTCTTTACTATAGTTTCAACCAGTTTGCCAGGCACTGAAGTTAGTCTTCATGGCCTCCAATTGCCGGGATCACCTCTGGAGTCTTTTTTAAAAATTGGGGTCACCTTAGCTATCCTCCAGTCATCTGGTACAGAAGCTAATTTAAATGATAGGTTACATACCACAGTTAGTAGTTCTGCAATTTCACATTTGAATTTCTTCAGATCTCTTCTCCAGCTTACTTATGAGAATGTCATGTGGGACTGTGTCAAAAGCCTTGCTGAAGTCCAGGTATATTATGTCCACTGCTTTCCCCCTGCCACCAACCAGGTACCTCATCAAAGAGGGAAATCACGCTGGTTTGGAAGAATTTGTTCTCGGTGAATCCATGCTGGTGATCACCCATTCATCTTCCCAAATTGAAGGTTTTATACATTGTTGTAGTAGTGTTCCAGGTGTTGAAGTCAGGATTACTGGTCTACAGTTCCCCGGCTCCTCCTTTTTCCCCTTTTAAAGATGGCCACTCTGTTAGCCCTTCTCCCATCTTCTGGGACCTCTCCTGGCATCCATGAGTTTGCAAATATTATTGCCAGTGACTCCAAGACTTCTTCCGCTAATTTCTTCTGCCCCACTGATTTGAATTCATTCTCTTTCGTCGGAAGGCCTACGACATGTTCTTTACTTATCCCGATCTGCAGCCCTTCCCTTTTGTTGTTCGTGGTAACTTCGCTGGTCTCCTGTTCACATGTTGTTTTTTGTGGGAAGACTGAAGCAAACAGACACTGAGCAGCGCTGCCTTCCCACCATCTTCTGTCACCAGCTCAGGATTTTCTGTCCAATCTCATGATTCTTAGAGAAAATATCAGGTTTTTTCACCAATTTAAGGATTTTTTTAGCCCACGATCTCTCGGGACCGTCTGGTGATTTGGGGGTCACTGCACTGCCAGCAGCCCCAGATCAGCCCCCTGCAGAGCCCAGCAGTACAGATGGTGCACAAGGCAGATCTGTCTCCCCGCTGAAACAGCCTCTGCTCTCACACTTCCCACCCCCCGTCTGTCTCTAGGTCTGTCCCAGTCCGACGCCCCAGCCATGGGCAGAGCCCTGCTGCCACAGCATGACACCGGGGAAAGGGAGCTCCCAGTTCAGCCCCCCCGCCCCGGAGAGCAGGGGGTCCTGCCACACTGAGGGTCCTGATCCTCACCCTGCTCTGGAGGGGTAAGTAAGTGGCACCTGCAGCCCCAGTGCAGGGGAGGGCAGAACCGCACTAAGCGCGGGTAGGTCTGTCCCAGAACTTGGAAGGGCGACTGGCCAATTGGGGAGGGGAGCCCAATGCCCCAGTGTGGTTTTAGGGGGCGCTCATCAATAGGGAGTGGGGGCAGGGGGCTCATTGTAGGGAGTGATGGAAACTAAATGGAGTGAGATTTGGTCAAGGACACAGGGCTGGGCTCACATGGGGCTGCAGGTTGGGAGTGAGGGACACCAACAGAGCTGGGCGGTGGGTTTGAGCTCGGGGCTGGGGTCCCAGGGGGCTGCAGGTTGGCAGTGAGGGGCACCGGCACAGCTGGGTGGCGGGAGCTCAGGGTTGGTCTCTGCTCTCTATGGGTCCCATTTTGATTCCTCTGCATCCCCTGCAGGGTCCCTGTCCCTGGATTCTAGTTATTCCCTCAAGGTGCCGCAGTCAGTGTCGGTGCAGGAAGGTCTCTGCGTTCTAGTCCCCTGCACCTTCACGTACCCAGCCTCGTTTTACACTGACAATTCCTGGGCCCAGCTGTTCAGAAACTGGTACAAGGATCAGGTTGATGTGCACTGGGATCTGCCTGTGGCCAGCAGTGACCCCAGCCTGGGAGTGTCGCAGGAGACCCAGGGCCGGTTCCAGCTGATGGGGGATCTGACACACGGAAACTGCTCCCTGCAAATCAGTGATGCCCAACGGATGGATGCAGGGAGATATTTCCTTAGAGTCGAGAAAGGAGACTTTAAATACAGTTACTGCTCCAATTACTATCGCACTCACCCTACACTAGAGATCTTGGTGCCAGGTGAGGGCAGCCGCAGTCACCGCTCATCAGCCCCCCTTAGCCAGCCCGTCCCAGCCCTGGGGCCGGATCAGAGCCGCGCCCCTAGAGGGGAAAGGCCCCGTGGCCCGGAGTGATTCTCTCCCTTCTCCCCGTGTCTCAGAGTTGACGGAGGAGCCAGAGATCCAGATGACGCCGGCGAGGGGGCCACCAGGGACGCTGCTGGCTGGGGAGCCGGTGACTGTGACCTGCACAGCTCCCGGGCGATGCTCCGGGACACCTCCCTGAGTCGCCTGGACGGGGCCGTTCAGCGACACAGCCTGGAACGTCTCAGCTCCACTGGCGAACGGCCCCTGGACCCACAGCTCCGCGCTCAGCTTCACCCCTGCCCCGGGGGACGCCGGCAAAGAGCTCATCTGCAACGTCACCTACAGCTCAGCACAGGGACCTTCCACCCGCAGAACCATCCGGCTCCACATTGGCTGTGAGTGACCAAACCCAGCCCCTCCACGCCAGCCCCCAGCTCCCTCTGCTGGGATCCCCACCCCTGGGCTCCCCAGCCCTGCCCTCCATCCCCTCCCTCAACTCAGCCCTGTGCTGGGATCCCCACCCCGCACCATGCACTCTCAGCCAATTCTACTCCAGGCCCCTTCCCTCCACACCCTGCAGCCCCTTCTCCCTTGGGATCTTCACCCCTTCCTGCCCTCCTTGGCTATGGCTCCCCCTTCCCTCCACACCCCCAAGACTCCCAGGCCCCCAGGCCCTTCTCTTCTGGGATCATCTCTACCCCCGACCTGCCCTGCCCCCAGAATCCTCCTGTGCTGGGATACACCACCCCCATTCTAGTCCCCCATTGCTGGGATTTCCCCCCCATCACACCAGCCACCCCAGTTCCCCCCTGAGATCCCCCCTGGCTGGGATCAGTGGATGCTCTATATGGGGCACAGTGGTAACGGGACCCACTCACTGTCCAGCACTAAACATTCTCCAGGCTCAGTGTCCAGAGACTTCGGCCCGCCCTGCCCCAGGGCAAACCCCCATTAAATGGCCTGTGACCCTCGCGGTGCAGATCCAGGGCGGAGGGAAAATCAGCGGCCGCCTTTGTGATGTGAAGGATCCAATCAGGCTTCACTGTAAGGACGGCTCTTGTTCCCTTTAGCCGGAGGGAGATCTAGAAGGAAACTGCCCCCACCACCCCAACCACCACTCATGTCTGACCCCAGGCCCCACCCCAACCCCAAACGTCTACAAAGACCTCAGAGGAAATGTCCGCGCTGCAATCAAAGACCCGCAGTCCGAGCCCCGCAAGCCCAACCCAATGGACCAGGCTCTGAGCCTCAGCTCCACAGGGCTTTGAGGGCAGCGTGGACGGACCCTGCCAGGCCTGGCCAGCCAGTATCAGTGTCCAGCTGTTCCAGGTGTTGATTTCAGACACCCCTCTGAGCACAGCCGGGCTGCAAAATACCAAGGCCTGGCTGGCCAAGGCCAGGGGCAAAGGAGAGGGCTGGAGAGAGACGAACTGAGGGGGGAAGCCAAAGGACCTATGACAGGGGTGTCTGATGTCCCTGATGGTGGCTGGGTCTGGGTTGGGGGTGGCAGCAGGGATATTTAGATCCCTGTCTCTGCCCCTCCCCCGGGGAGGACACATTTGGGAAGCAGGACGCTGGACGCCTGGGTGCCCAGCAGACGGTGGCATTAAGATGGTGACACTCACCCCAGTACCCAGGCCGGAGCAGCCTGGTCCCTCGTTAGTGCCTCCGCTAATTAGGCCCAATTTTGACCCACCGGTTTTGGTCCCTTGGGTTTCCATTTCCCACGGTTCTGGTTCCCCGACGTGGCCCTAACCCGGCCCCTGGGTTACATCGGGCTCCTCTTGGGTGGGGCTCAGTCGGGTCTTTCACTTCTCTTCCCCACCCATGGGTCTTCTGTCACTTCAGGGACTTTCCCGTCCCCCAGCTGAGCTCACAGTGAGGGGCCATGTCTAGGCTCAGTGATCACTAGCGACCCCTCCCCGGTGCTGTCCAGCCCCCCCCTGATCTCCCCTGTCTGGTTTGTGTTACAGACCCGACCGGGCCCCCCAACATCACCTGATCAGTGATCCTGATTAGGAACGGACGCCCCGGTGAGAGGCCGCGCTGCGAGCCCCGGGAATCAGCGAGTGCCTCGAGTCACGCTCTGCCCGCGCTCAGGGCCAGGTGCCAGGCTCTGCTGGGCTAGGCTAATGGGTGGTGGGTATCGCAGGCCAGGGGAGGCTGAGCCGCCCCAAACAGCCCTACATTGCCCCGCCCATGCTCCACCCCCAGGTCCCCTCCTGCTCACCACCCACGCTCTTCCCCCATGACAGGGCTGGGGCTGGGGGTACAGAGGGCCAGCCTGCATCCCAGGACTCCAGGTGGTTGGGGCCTTGCCTCCCTCTCCCTCAGTGCTCTGGGACTTGGATTCTCTGGCCACCTGGGGTGGGGTGGGGGACCAGCGTCCACGGTGGGGGGCTCTAGGCTCCATTGGGGGTGGGACCTCAGCAGAAGAGGCGGGGTCAGGGGCTAGCCTCCCTGAGCTGGCAGTTCATATGTCGCCCATGACCAGGCTGCTCCGTGCCCAGAAGTGGGAGGCCGAGGAAGCTGCAGGGCTGTGGGGAGGGTGGTGTGGGGAGCAGGCCCGGGTCCCCCTGTCTCCAGACCCCAGCACAGCGCTAGCCAGTGCTGGGCAGCAGGGAGGAGATGGCTGTAGAACCAGCCCCCATGTCCTACCCCAGAGGTGGCTGCATCTTGGTGCCTTGTGGGGGGGATCTCTGTGGGGGCCTAACCTGCCTGCTCGTCTCTTCCAGTGCCAGATGCGTGGGGAGCTGAGGGCGACGTCGTGTCTCTGGAGACCCAGGAGGGCGACTCCCTGACCCTGAGCTGTGAGGCTGTGAGCAGAACCGAGTCCACACTGAGCTGGGCCAAGGGGAATGAGTCCCTGAGCCCCGGCCAGGGAGGGGCCGGGCACCTGGAGCTGCCGAATCTCAGCAGAGGAGATGCTGGGGAGTATCGGTGCTGGGTGAAGAATTCCTACGGGTCGGCCAAACGGGCCCTGCGTGTGCACATGCAGTGTAAGGTGCTAGGGGGCGCTGTGCCAGAGGGAGTGGGGCGGGGACTCAGTGGGGCATGCTATGCTGCGGGGGGCAGGGCAGGGAGTCCATGTGCTGCGCTGTTGGGAGTGGGGTGGAGAGTCAGTGGGGGGCACTGTGCTGGGGGGAGAGGGGAGAGGCTCACAGCGGCCCGGGAGGGTGATTCCCTGCGGTTCCTCTGCTCTGTCACGAGCAACCCCCCGCTGCGCTGGGCTGGGTGAGAGGTGGCCGAGCCTTCAAGGGTGCCTGCCGAACGTGACGGCCGAGGACGGGGGGCTGTACAGGTGCTGGGCCCAGAATGAGGAGAGCTCTGCCCAGGGGATGGTCCAGCTGCTCCTCGAGTGTTAGTGAGGTTAACCGACAGAACTCACTGCCACGGGTGTGAGAGGGGGGGCTATTAATTTGTTGCTGTGTCTCCTGCGCTCCCCAGACAGCCCCCGGCCAGGGACCAGGCTGAACTCATTCTGCCAATTCCAGTGGCCCAGCGTCAGCTGCGGCTGCTCCCTTCGCTCCCACCCCCACCCCGGCTCCAGTGGCAGGTGGACGGGGAGCCCCTGGCTGCGAAGGGTTCACGGGAGGCCCTGCAGGTCAGCTCCTGGGCCCAGAGGCATGAGGCTAACAGCACCTTCAGCTGGAAGGGGATTGGGGAAGAGGGGAAAGAGGGCTGGGCGGATCGGGCAGGGGTTGTAGGACTCTATCCCAGACTCTCGGCTTGTTCTAGCTCCCACAGGTGACCTCAGTCGGGCATTCATCGAAATCAGCTGCAAACTCATTTTCGTGGTGACTGGATTCTTCCTGGCCTATTACCTCACCCTGCTGTGTTACAGACGGTAACTCAGCTACTGACCCACCTACCGACCTACCCACCTATGTACCCCCCTAGCTACCAACCCATTGACCCACCCATCTACCAACCTTCCACCCCACCTAGCTACCTACCTACAAATTTACCATCCTACTCACCCACACACCTACTATCCCACCCACCTACATACCCACCTACCTACCTATGTACCCATTGACCCACCCATCTACCTACTACACCGCCTAGCTACCAACCCACTTATCCAAACACCCACTGACCTACCAACCTACTGATCTACCCACCTACGTACCTCCTACCTCCTATCTATCTACCCACTTTCCCAACTAACTACCTACCCACCAACCTATGTACCCATCTACCCACCTACCACCCAGCCCACCTACCTAGTCACCCACCCACCTACCTGCTCACCTACCATCCCATCCACCCATCATCTAATCATCTATCTATCTATCTATCTATCTATCCTAACTGCCAGCCACTTACATACCCCAAAATCTCCCTCTCTCTCTTTTCCAGGACACCCTACAGCTGTCTTAGAAGCAGAAAGATGGACAGGCCGGGGGCCAGGGAATTCACAGTGCCCGATTCCAGCGTGTAGATCGGGACGTACCTCAGCCATGGAAGAGCCGACAAGGAATTGGAATCTCAAGGGACTGAGGAAACAGAGAATGAGACCTCAGCTGGGGGGACTGTCACCCTGGGTGAGGCCAACGGGCCCGTTTAGCCCAGTACCTGGCCCCCTCCCTACCCCTCCAGCTCAGACCCATGGGCTGGGAAGCACGTGGAAGGTGCCCGTAATATTTGTATGACCAGTAGATGATCTGTTTGTTGCCCTGATGGTTATGACCAGGGCCGGCCTTAGGGAAAATGGCACCCTGGGCGAACTTGTATTTTGCCCCCCATCACTCCTGGCCCCCACGGGCTCCCCCCGCATTACCGCTGGGCCCCGTTGGTGTTTAATTTGTTTTGAAAGAGATGCCAGAGCTCAGCTGTGGCTCAAATTAAGCACTGGCAGGGCGGCCTGATACTGGCAGGGGCTGGTCGGGCACAAGCTCTGAAGGCAACACCACCACGAGCAGCAGCGCAGAAGTTGGGGGGCCTGGCACATGGGGTATTGCCACCCTCCTGTGCTGCTGTTGGGGCTTGTGGTGCCTGATGCTCGGCATGTGGCTCAAGGCTTCGGGTTTTTTCAGATAAAAACTTAGGGATTAGCTGACAGGAGCTCTGTATCTAATTGTTATATAAAGAAAGAAACAATAGATACAAACACCAATTAAAGCCACATTTAAAGCTTATATGTAAATTTAGAACAATCAGGAGATAATAGAGCAAGATATTCCCAATCCCAAGCCTTGAGGTGTCAGTTCTGGAACTTTAACGCAGAAATCAGAGACACACATTTGATACACTATCTTTAGTAGAGATTAAAATTTCTCTAACAGACACACTGTGTTGCTGTCATTATCTCCTCTATTTTATTCAATTATTTTTTAACTAAAAACATAAATTTAACATATGTGATTAAGATTTTTTTTCTCTTGTATTAAGAAAGGGAATTATTTTTTAAAATTCTTTTGGCATTTCTGTTTACGGACCACAATCATGTTTGTGACTCACTAACATTTGACTCCATCATTGCTATTGGTATCATAGTTGGAGCTGCAGTTATTTTCATGCAAATGTTAAATTAATTTACAGGTATAACTAAAAATACAATTGGAAAATAAACAACCTTCATCTGCACAGTGTCTATAGTTCTGTGTTTAGCTAATGTTTATTAAACTGGCATCACTAAAGTGAGTACAAGCTAAAATTCCATTCTAGGAGGATTGTGCCACTTCAAATAATGAATGTCAAAGCACAATATGATGATAACAGTAATAATGATCATTACTCCAGCCAGGACAGGTTAGAACATTTAAAACTCACTACTCAAAGAATTCAATGTAAGCATAAAAGAGAAATAGAATTATGAAATGCAGAGACCAGTCAAAAAACTCAAATAACAGCACTTTGAAAGAATTAAATTGCAGAGAATATCTGTGCATTGGAGGAAGTATCAACAAATAACAACAACAATATCAGTATGTGTTGGGGGGTGATGAGTGTGAAAGAGACAGCGTGTGAGAGCTGGAGGTGTGTGTGCGAGACAGTGCGCTGCCCCTTTAAGAGAGTGGCACTCAGCAGTCTGAAGGAAAGCGCCTTCAGACACAGCAGCAGTCGCCAGCAGCTCCATTCCTCATGTGGTGAGCCCTGCCCCGCCCCACCCTGCTCTGCGGAGATGGGGTACATGGGGGGGCAGGGGACAGCCGGACATCAGAGCCCCTCCCCCCTGCTCCTTACAGCAGACAGGAACCTCCCAGGAGCAGCTGGCCAGGGGCGGCTCCAAGGCAGGGGGCAGGAGCTGTGTGGCTGCAGATGCCAGCATGGGGAACCCCTGCTCTGGAGGTGCCCCCTTCGCCCATGCCTAAGGCTAGCCCTGGCTGACTTTGTTTGCTCTGTGATGACCGCAAGGTACCAGATACCCCGGTCAGAAGCGCAGGACGATGCCCTCTAGAGCAGGGGTTCTCTAAGTGTGGATCAGGACCCAAAAATGGGTCAGGAGACCATTTTAACGGGGTCACCAGAGCTGGCTTAGAATTACTGAGGCCCGTGGCCAAAGCCCGAGCTGCACACCTGGGGCCGAAGCCCAAGAGCTTCAGCCCTTGGCTTTGGGGCTCAGGTTATAGGCCCCCCCACTTGGGAATGAAGCCCTTGGGCTTTAGCTTTGCCACACACACCAACACCCGGGGTGGCGGGGCTCTGGCGGGCTCAGACTTCAGTCCCCCTGTCCTCCAGTTGTGTAGTAATTTTTGTTGTCAGAAGAGGGTTATGGTGCGATGAAGTTTGAGAACCCCTGCGAGAACACAGCAGATCAGCTGATGCTAGTTACTGATCCCTGCAAGACAACGCCCAACCCAGCAGCTCTAGCGGCCGCTCCCAGCCAGTGCGGGGAGAATGTTTCACACACAAACTTATTTTTTTAATGCAAAATGTAAATTCAGCAACATCAAAACTTTCTGTGATTCCAGGTCGATTTTGCGGCATTGTTCATTAGGTGAAAAAAACTCAAAACATTCCCCAAAATGGAAAGATTTTTTTAGGTGTTTTCAAAAAGAAACATTTCACTTTCTTGATTCAAAATCGTTCTCTGGTTTGAAATTTCCTGTAATTTTATTTTTTATTAAAATCCTTGAAATCAAAACAAAATGTTTCATCCTCAAACCAAATCTATTTCTGACCTTCTGGTTTGCTGAAAATTTTGACCAATTTTCATTTTTAGCTTTATGTGAATTTTTTTCCCCTAATTTTGGTTACCTCAGAATTTATCAAATTATGCTTCCAGCTTGACCCCCAAATATTTTTTCAAATGATTCATTCACCAAAAAATTCAATAATTTTTCTTTTTTGTTTCGATCCAAATAGTTTTCAGTTTGCTAAAATGTTGACCAATTTTTGTTTCAAGCCACTAGGGGAATGGGCCACTGCACTTTTCCCCTCTTGTGGGCGATGGCTTGGATCCAGCCCCAGGGTAGGGGACTGGCTGGCTCAGGTGGCAGCGGTGGGATACTTGTGACGATGAGTGCAGGCTGTGTTGCTCGCTAGCTGTGCCGCAGTGAATTCCCCTTGGTGATGTGCAGATAATAGCAGCCCCCATCCCTGGCTCACATGTTCTCAATGCCCAAGGAGCAGCCCCCCTTCTCCAGGTATCCCAGCATCCAGAAGTGGTCCCGCCTTTCCTCCAACAACTCTCAGTAGAGGATGTTGGCAGTGATGGGTTTCACCCGGAAGACGTCCGCTTGTTCCATGAACCAAGGCCTATAGATCCCCCCATGAGATCCGGGCCCCATCAGTGGCCTGAATGTGCAGGGGATGATGAAGCAGAGACCCACTCAGGCTCGCACCGAATCTGGGACCGTCAGACCCAGGTTTGGGCTCTTGCAAAGAATGCTGCATAGGAGAGATGGGATGGGAGGAACAGGCTGTTCTGCATGGAGCCACCAGATGGCGCAGTTACACAAAACCAGACATAATCTTAGTGTGTGAGCAAGTGTTAAATCTTTGGAGAAATGCTGGATTGATTGTGTTCAATATTTTTATGCAGCTATACACCCCTCTGTCTGTCTGTCTGTCTGTGTCTCTATATATATATTTGTGTGTGTGTTTGTATTTATATTTACTATGTTATTATATATCTATGCATATATATATATACACACACACAAAAAAAGTATAGACTATATATCTAATTATCCTCAATTTTATGTTAATGTAATATATGTGTGTGTGTATATAGTCACACATATATATACACATACACACACACACACACACATAGAGAGAGTGAGTACATATGAGAGTGAGTGTCTGTATGCATCCAAAGAAGTGGGCTGTAGTCCACGAAAGCTTATGCTCTAATAAATTTGTTAGTCTCTAAGGTGCCACAAGTACTCCTGTTCTTTTTGAGTACATATAGACTGTGCATACACACATATGCTGGATATATACATATATTGACTATTATTTTAGGATATATTTTATATAATGATGCTAATTATATTTTGTTTGTTCTATTAAAACTATCACAGCAGATCTGGGTTGTGTCACAGACTCCCAGGCCCCAGGCTCGCTCGGCTCCGGAGGGTCCCTGTGAGGAACCCCCCAGTGTGACAGCCCTTCTCAGGGTCACACACACTCTGGGGGATTAAGACTTGGTCAGATCACTGGGGCCCTCTCTCCTCCACCCTTTGTACTCACACGGGCCAGATCCGGCAGGCTCCCTAGATGGGCTGGGCCTCTGGGCCACTGGTTGCTAAGTCCCATAATGTCTAGGCCGGTGTCCGGGGTCCCAGCTGCCAGGCAAAGTCACACCTGCCTATCTGCAACCACGGTCCCCCTCTCCCATCACCTCCTTACACAAGCAGCACACAGGGAAACTGAGGCACACCCAGTATTCATGCAAAACGCTACCAAAATCCCTCACTTCATCACAGGTTGTTTTAAAATAAAAGTTTTGTGCAAAAGTTCCCTTTCCTAAAAACTAATCCCAGGTTTGTTTGGGTTTTTTTGGTTTTTAGAAAGGTTTCGCAGAGATCTTGGCCATTTAAAACTAATGACCACTGGAAAAAATTCACTGGCTAGGCATTTTTCACAAAAAATGTCCCACATTTTCCAATTACCCAGCCCCCCTGCTCCCATGTTTTAAAGTATCTTCAGGATATAAAAATAAACAGAATTATTTGAATTATTAAGATGATAGATAGATAGATAGATAGATAGATAGATAGATAGATAGATAGATTAGATAATGACTGGTAACCCTTGCCCTCCCATATAAGTAAGAGACAGACCCCAGTCACCATGATCTCCATGTTATCAGCCATGTCAGGTTTCAATCTCAACCTGGTGGTTCCAAGATTTCCGAGTGAATCTCTTTTTTTCCTGCAGCTGAACTTGGTAATTCCGAAGACCCAAAAACATATGAGTCAAATACTGAGCTCAATACAATGCACAAGGATCCCGTGCCCAGCATTGAGATGCAGCTCCCTCTGGGGTGGAGTTTGGGGCTGTTTATACAGGGACCCCTTGGCCAGAAATGAGATGTGGCCACCTCTGTGGTGGGGCACAGGGGCTGTTTACATAAGGAACCCTTGCTCAGCTGGTGCTGACATGCAGCCACCTCCAGGTGGGGCATCTGTTTAACAGCAACCAAGGGAAACCTCCCAGGCAGCTAATTAAAACGAGTCTGAAACCAAATGGGGATTAACCAGAGCAGAATGTACCACACTGTAGCGGGGTGATCACCCCGCTCCTGCGCA